CTTCTCGCCAGTGAACCAAGAGAAATTAGTGGTATAACTATCCCAACTATTTTATATATATATATATTTATATAGATATATTTTTATATATCTATATAAATATATACATATATTTGGCTTTTCCATTTCTTCTTTTCTCCATTACCCCATTCCAATTTGTCTTTCCTTTTGAAGTTTCTTCCCATTTTACAATATCTATTGTACATTTTGGATCTTTTTAGGATCTTATTTACTCTTTCAGCTTCTCATACTAGGAGACAATATGATGTCTGTACATGTGTGTTAGTTTATTTCATTTATGAGTATGGTCTCTAGTTGTATTCATTTACCTGTAAAAGTCTTCAGTTTATCCTTCTTTATGGCTGAGTAATACTCCATTATATAAAAAGACCGCATCTTTTTTATCCATTCCTTGGTTGATGGGGGTCTTTTACATTCTTTGTTAGATTAATTCCTAGGTATTTCATTTTTTTTTTTTTTTTGATGCTGTTGTGAAAGATGTTGTTTCCCTAATCTCTCTCAGTGAGTTTGTTATCTGTGTATAGGAAGGCTATTGATTTTTAAGTGTTGGCTTTGTATCCAGCTATGCCACTGAATTTTGTTATTAAATCTACTAGTCTTTGGTGAAGTTTTCGTTGTCTTCTATGTAAAGTATCATGTCATCTGCAAATAATGACGATTTAACTTCTTCCTTTCCTGTTGTTACTCCTTTTATTTCTTTCTCTTGTCCAATTTATCTGGCTAAAGTTTCCAAAACTGTATTGAATAAGAGTAGTGACCATGGACATCCTTGTCTTGTCCCTGATTTTAAAGAGAAAGCTTTCAGCCTTTATCCATTTAATACGATGTTAGCTGTTGGTTTGTCATAGGTGACTTTTATCAGGTTGAGATGAAGACCTTCTGTTCCATTTTTCCATAGGGTTTTTATCATGAGTGGGTACTGGACTTTGTCAAACTTTTTTTCTGCATTTATTGAGTTGATCATGTGGTTTTTGTCCTAGGCTCTACTAATATGGTGTATTACATTTATTGATTTGCATATGTTGAACCACCCTTGCATCCCTGGGATGAATCCTACATGATCAGGATGTGTAGTCTTCTTGATGATTTGCTGCGTTCTGTTTGCCGGTATCTTGTTGAAGATTTTTGCATCTATATTCATTTGGGAGATTGGCCTAGAGTTCTTTTATGGTTGGGTCCTTCTCTGGTGGTTTGGTATCAGGGTAATGCTTGCTGCCAGGAGTGAATTTGGAAGTATTGCTTCCCTTTCAGTTTCATTAAAGAGTTTGAGAAGTACTAGTGTGTTATGGTTGACACATTGTGTCAACCCGAGTATAGAGGCTTGGCTAAGTGACTCAGCAGTTCTACATTCTGGGGTAAAAAGGACATGCCCTTGGGATGTTGTTCATTGTCAATGTGAGAAGTTTAGAAGGGTAACTAAGTGACTGGGCAGGGGGCCAGGTCCTTACTTTGTATTCATCCTGAGCCTGTGCAAGAGGAGGGCATGGAGATTATGTGAGCGCTGCTTGCCCCCTGGGTGGGGATGGCCTGCCTACAATATAAAGGAGGGAAAGAGGCTTGTTTTTACCCCCTTTTTGCTCTTGTTGCTTTTACTGTTTTCCACCGCCATGAACATTTGCCCTCTACCAAGTGCCACTCTGCCGTGAGCCAGCCAAGTATGGACTGAAAGGTCCACAAACATTAAGCTAAACAAACCTTTTCTTCCTTAATTTTGGGTGTCAGATATTTTGTCTCAGCAAGGAGAGAAAACTAACCAAGGCACGGTGTTAAGTCTTTTTTAAATTTATTGCAGAATTCAGCATTGAATTTGTCATGGCCTGGGCTTTTCTTTGTTGGTAGCTTTTTAATTACATCTTTGATTTCACTGATTGATATTGATTTATTTAGGATTTTTAAATATTCTTGATTCAGCTTTGGTAATTCATACGTATGTAGCAATGTGTCAGTTTCTTCTGTGATTTCCAAGTTATTCGAATACAGGTTCTCAAAATAGATATTGATGATCTTGTGGATTTCTGTGGGATCTGTTGTGATTTCACCCTTTTCTTTACCAAATGTATGGATTTGAATGTTTTCTTTTTTTGTTTTTTCGTTTTTTTTCCGATACTGGGAATCGAACTCATGACCTCGTGCTTGCCAGGCAGGCGCTGTGCCGCTGAGCTAAATCCCCAGCCCTGTTTTCTTCTTTTTTTGATAGGATTGGCTAAGGGTTTATCAATTTTATTTAATCTTTCAAAGAGTCAGCTCTTTGATTCATTGATTCTTTGTATTGTTTTCTTGTCTCCATTGCATTAGCTTCTGCTCTGATTTTTATAATTTCCTCCCTTTTAGAGCTTTGGGCTTGGCTTGCTCTTCCTTTTCTGTAAGTTTGAGGTTCAACATTAGGTTTTGTTTGAGCTTGTTCTGTTTTTCTGCTATGGGAATTCACAACTATAAATTTCCTTCATAGGACTGCTTTCATCGTGCCCATAAGTTCTGGTATGTTGTGTTGGCATTTATCATTTATTCATAGAAATGGTCTGATATTTTCTTTAATTTTATGTCTGATCCATTGGTTGTTCAGGAGGGTGTTATTTAATTTCCATGTATTCAAGAAGTTCTTGTGGTTTCTTTTGCCTTTGCTTTCCAGTTTCATTGCACTATGCTCTGATAATATGCATGGGATAATTTCAGTTCCTTTGTATTTATGTAAGCATGTTCTCTGTGTTACTTTGCGCTCTGTTTTGGAGACTGTCCCATGTGCCTATGAGAAGAATGTGTATTCTGATATGGGGTGGAACACTCTGTAGATATCTACCAAATTCATTTGTTCAAAAGTTTGGTTCAGTTCTAATATTGTTGATTTCTGTCTAGTTGATCTGTTTGTGATAATGGCATGTTGAGGCCCCCCATTATAATTGTATTTATGCTTGATTTTTCACATCCATTTATATTTGTTTTATGTAGTTGGTTGCATTGGTGTTTGTTGTGTATATATTTATTATTGTTGTCTTTTCCTCTTGGACTGTTCTCCTTACAAGGATGTAGTGACCTTCTTTGTCTCCCTTGGTCAGTCTTGGGTTGAAATCCACTTTGTCTGCAAATAGAATAGCTACTCCTGCTTTTTTGGGGGTTCTTCTTGCATGGAGTATTGTTTTCCATCCTTTGACTTTCAGTCAATGAATTGCTTTTTTTTTTTT